TGCAATGCCTTCCAGAAGGGTGTTCTGAGTTGGCCGACCTCCAATCAGGATACTCCCAAACCAGTGGTTCTCAACCTTCTGGCCCTTTAAATACAGTTCCTCATGTTGTGACCCAACCATAAAATTATTTTCGTTGCTACTTCATAACTGTAATGTTGCTACTGTTATGAATCGTAATGTAAATATCTGATACGCAGGATGGTCTTAGGCGACCCCTGTGAAAGGGTCGTTCTACCGCCGAAGGAGTCGCGACCCACAGGTTGAGAACCGCCGCTCCAAACTGTTTAAAATAAATCGCAAGCTGTGCACCTTATGGGGCCCCGTGGGTAATCTGGTCCTTGCCTCTCTCTCCAGTCTACTGCGGCTGCTCTGTCCTTACTGGCTACATTCCAGCCTCCCTGTTCCTCTCTAACATGTCAGGCAATTCCCCATGTCAGCTTCTTCCTACACTTGGACCTTCACATTGGCCCAGTGCTGGTCCTGGCAAAATGACCACAGGGATTGGCTCGGGGATGAATCTTCGACCCTGGCAAAGCCAATCAGTGCCCCTCCCTGAGATCTGCTGGATGGCTGCTTTAGAAGGGGAGGGTCCATCTTATTCCGGGATCTTGAGCTGCACTCGCATACGAATGTTGTAGGCGAATGTCCCTCGCCCGGGGAATCTGGAGAATGAAGCCAAGTAGAGGTTAGCAGGGCCAAATGATGGAGAATATTTTAACTTTGAACCCCTGAATCCACCCAGGCCCAGGTTTCCCGGTATGATGAGACTCCCAGATCCCCTTTTCATGGCATACAAAAATCTAACTTGAATTTCCATCATTTTTAACTGAAAGAGTTCTGACACATTTCTAGTACATAGCTGGTGCTCATTAAATGTTGATTAAATGAATGAATGAAAAGATAGATCAGCTCTTAGCATGCACACTAAACCTATGGCTTCTCAGCCTGGAAGGCTGGCAACAGACATCAGAGTGTGGAAAGTTCTCCAAAGTAATAAATGCCACCCCCCATGAGGTCTATTGGGCAGACCACCAGCCAGACAGCTTCTTTAACAACACTCGCACCTGTCTTGGCCGTTTCCATTAGAAACCCCTGAGACATGTGCCTCCCTTGACAGTCTGCCAATATCTCACCTCTTTGCTTTAATCATCCCCAGTACCAACCAATGACCACCATATTGGCATTCAATAGCTATTCCCTGAAGGAAACATGCTGGCCACAACATTTATTGCTAAAATGCAGAATCTAAAAAAAAAAAAAAAAGAGGTAAAACAAGGCTAACCAAGGAAGAACAGAGATGTCACTTCGTATCTAAAAGCATCATCTTTGAAATAGGCATCCAGGAACTTAGGTATTCCCGCGACCACCCTAGAAAACATAATAAAAAGATACCTTATAGAATCAGAGTTTGGGGCTGGAAGTGGCCTGAATTTGGTTTACTCTTTTACCAGGGTGAAGACTGAGTAAGACACAAAATAGTTAAGGAATTGTCCAGGACTCAGTTCATGGCCATCCTTGGGGCAGAGGCTGAAAACTCGGGGTTTCTGACAATCCCAAATCGTTGTGTGATCCAGTCTCCATAGGCCAGACAAAAGAAGGTCTGACCTCAGACACCTGAATGGGCTGTTGTAATATCATGCTGTTAAACACCATCCTGCACCTCTGACTATGAGAAAGCTAGTGACCTTAAAGGCACACACTCTAACATCTCAGAGGGAAATTACTAATCATTTGCACATGCATGCTGAAGTTCAATTATGTGCCATTTAGACCCAAAGTTTGATAGAGAAGTCTATGTGCTAACAATGGGAGAGGCTGTCTTCACCAAATTTGATTTTTTGTTTTGCTACAGATTCCAAGTTTTAAAGGAAGAATTTGCAGGACAAATCCTCTTTCCAATTTTTTTTTATTTTTTCAACTAATGGTTTTCTTAGTCTAAAAAAATTTTTAAAGAACAGTTTTAGGTCACAGCAAAATTAATCAGAATACACAGAGATTTGCCATATACCTCCACTCATGCATAGCCTCCCTCATTATCAACATCCTCCATCAGAGCAGTACATTTGTTACAGCCCATGAACCTACAATGGCACATCATAATTACCCAAAGTTCATGGTTAACATTAGGACTCACACTTGGTGTTTTGAATTCCATGGGTTTGGCCGAATGTAGTAGTATACTGGTAATGACAAGTGCCCGCCAGTGCAGTATAATACAGAGTAGTTTCACTGCCCTAAAAGTCCTCTGTGCTCCACCTATTCGTCCTTCCCCCCTCCCACCCTGCCCCTGGCAGCCACTTATCTTTTGAACTGCCAACACAGTTTTGCCTTTTCTAGAATGTCTTATAGTTGGAATCATACAGTATGTAGCCTTTTGGGATTGTCTTCTTTCACTTAGTAACATGCATTCAAATTTTCTCCATTTCTTTTCATGATGTGATAGCTAATTTCTTCTTCAGTATCAAATAAGATTTGCCACGAGTATATTTTCTTTGGTGAGGTGTCTCTTAAGGTTTTTGGTCCATTTTGGTTCTTGTTATTATTGTTAAGAGTGCTTTGTATATTTTGAGTAACAGTACTTTATCAGATGTTTATTTTGCAACTATTTTTTCCTATTCTGTGGTCTGTTTTTTTTCTTCTCATTCTCTTAGTATCCTTTGCAGAGCAGAAAGTTTTTATTTTAATGAAGTCTTTCTTTCATGGATCATGCCTTTGGTTTTATATCTGTGACCCATTTTAAGTTAATTTTTGTATTTTTGTGAAGGTTGTGGGGTCTGGGTCTATATTCTTTTTTGTTGTTGTGTTGCATGTGGATGTCCAGTTGTTCCAGTATCATTTATTGAAAAGACTTTTGTTTTTTGCTCCATTGTATTGCCTTTGCTCCTTTTTCAAAAAATCAGTTAATTGTATTTATCAGGGTCTATTTCTGGGCATTCTAATCTGTTCCATTGATTTGTTTGTTTGTTTATTTTTGCAAAAACTACAATGTCTAAGTTACTGTAGCTTTAAAGTCTTAAGTTGGGCTAGAGTGCTGGATTTGGGCTCTGAGAATATCCCTGCAGGTTAGGCTCTGGTTAACTAGTTTTCCCAGAGGTCAGGCCTTGTTAATAAGAGTAAAGTGCTGTGGCATATTTAAAATGGTTCCTGCCCTAGCCAGTTTGGCTCAGTGAATAGAGCATCAGCCTGCGGACCAAAGGGCCCCAGGTTGGGTTCCAGTCAAGGGCACGTACCTTGGTTGCAGGCTCCTCCCCTGCCTGGGCCCTGGTCAGGACTCAATGCAGGAGGCAACCAATCGATGTGTTTCTCTCACATCAATGTTTCTCTCTGTCTTTCCACTCTCTCTAAAAATCAATGGAAAAATATCCTCAGGTGAGGACTTTAAAAAGGAAAAAAAAAGGGTTCCTTTTCTCCAGTCCTGGAAACACCTGGGGATTTTTCTGTGCTATTTATTGTGGAAATCTGGTCAAGCTCCTGGAGATAAATCTCACAAAATGTGGAGACCCCCATATAACTGGTCTTCCTGGAGTTTTTAATGCTCAGAGTTGTCCATGCTGAGCCTCCAGCAATTGGTCAATCACAGTTCTGGTTCCCAAACCCTGGCACTGGTTCCCAAGAGTGGTTTCCCATTGTGAGTCTCTGCTTTGGTAGCTTATCCTTCTCTGTATTCTCTTATTGGTTTCTCCAGTCTTGGGGCAGCCTGTGTCCTCACCTCTCTTCTGGATCCAAGAAGAGTTGTTGACTTTTCAGTCTCTTCAGCTTTTTACTTGTTAGGACAGTGGAGACTTCCAAGCTTCTTACATGCTGGAATGGAAATGAAGTCCTTTTTTTTAAAATCAAGACAAGACACTAGGTTAAAAGTTGAATTTATATCGTGTCTGTAGGTAAACAGAGCTATTTCTAGTGAAGAAAGCCCATATATAAAAGAAAAATATCCAATATTTAAAAAACAAATCCCCACAATGTTCCTCATCTAGTAGAACAGGCTCCTAAAAGAGAAGCCTTTTCTTAAATCTTTCTGAATGCTGTTAATTTATATTTTTGTTTGGATTTAATAGTGTCTACTTTTCTCTCTATTTATTTTTAATATATTTTTATTGATTTCAGAGAGGAAGGGAGAGGGAGAAAGCGATAGAAACATCAATGATGACAGAAAATAGTTGATTGGCTATCTCCTGCACGCCCCCTACTGGGGATCAAGCCTGCAACCCAGGCAAGTGCCCTGACTGAATCAAACCGTGACCTCCTGGTTCATAGGTCGATGCTCAACCACTGAGCCACACCTGGCCAGGCTCTCATTTTTAAAAATAAGTCCTGCCCTAGCTGGTTTGGCTCAGTGGATAGAGCGTCGGCCTGTGAACTGAGGGGTCCTGAGTTCATTTCCAATCAAGGGTACATACCTGGGTTGCGAACTCGATCCCCAGTGGGGGGTGTGCAGGAGGCAGCTGATCAATGTTTCTGTCTCATCGATGTTTCTAACCCTTTATCCCACTCCCTTCCTCTCTGTAAACAATCAATAAAATATATTAAGAAAAAAAAGATGAACATGAAACAAATAAAATAAATAAAAAATAAAATAAAATAAAAATAAGTCCTGCTTGAAGGACTTCAACTTTTTCTCATCGCACTACCCCAAAATTTCTTTCCTTACAGTGTCAAACTCATCTACTTAAAGGAGAGACACCCAAATTTTTACTTAAAAAGAGAAAAATTTATTAAAATGTCAATATAAATCTCATGTCATTGAAAAACTACAAATGGGATATATGTTTGCTAATGTTAATTTTAATTTTGTTGCTTAAAACTCCAAATTCCCCCAAATACATTGCGCTACCAATACTTTTAAAGTTCAAAATCGAAATAAAGAGATGCTTTTAATCAATTAACATTATCTTTGTATATATGCCATGCATTGAGAAAATAGGAAATGGGTTATTTTTTATTTAAAAGTGGAAACCTTTGGCTTCATGCCTGCCATGCAACACTCTCTGGTGACTTCTAGGTTGTGAGCCACTGTGGGCCTCGCCTAGTCACTGCGTATGTGCAGCCAGGTGTGCAATCAGGTCTTTGGCATCTTGCATGGTGGACGGTATCTCTGAGCCATTCTCTGTCACTTGGGTCCCAAACAAGAACATCGTCCTGTCATTTCCCACGTCAGATAATGCCAAAGCTTCGTGGATGTCTGTAATGTGATAGGCTGCTTTGAGATCCTTCAAGAATGAAAGAAAGAAATAGAAAATTTTTGGTTATTTTGCATTTATTGCTCTCAATCACCCCACATTCATTTTACTATGGAGGATATTGTGACCCCATTATTATGACCCTAGTGGTTATTGAATATAAATATTTTCATCAGAATTAAACCCATATTTATGAATTATCATCAAAACTATATTTTTGGAATAAAGTTAAACCAATACAACACCTTAATCAATGTTCTAAACACTACAGTCAATCTGCTTCTTACTTTTTCTATTTTCCCAGAATTATATTTAATAGGATCAATTATTTTAAATTTATTTTAAAGAGATATTTCATTCATTAACTGTTTTTTTGTCCATATCATGTTTTTTTTGATTATAGCATTTGCCATTGTGAGTTTTCTTTTGTGACTATTATTTTTTCTCAACAACAACAAAAATTGGATCAAATTTTGCAGGGTGAAGGGAGACAGAAAGGAGCAGAGAGGGAATGGATTTAGAAAATGAAGTGGTAGGAGAAGGAGGCAGAGAGAAGAGGACAGGTGGAGAGAAAGAGGATAAGATGGAAAGATGGGGAAGGCTTACAGGAGGGAAACCCGCAGGGAGAGCCATAAAGAGAAGAGATTCAAATGAGACAGAAAGCCCATACTTCTGCTGCATGGCAAGGTCAAAACCGTCTTTACAATCAAGACAAGACACTAGGTTAAAAGTTGCATTTGTGGCGAAACCGGTTTGGCTCAGTGGATAGAGCGTCAGCCTGCGGGCTGAAAGGTCCCGGGTTCAATTCCGGTCAAGGGCATGTACCTTGGTTGCGGGCACATCCCCAGTGGGGAGTGTGCAGGAGGCAGCTGATTGATGTTTCTCTCTCATCGATGTTTCTAACTCTCTATCTCTCTCCCTTCCTCTCTGTAAAAAATCAATAAAATATATTTTAAAAAAAAAAAGTTGCATTTGTAATTGGCTTTTGTTGTTTCATAGTGTTCTCCCTAAGGTTTAGGGGATCATTTAAAAATGCCTGGGAATGATTTAAAGGGCGTTGTTTTGTGTGTGTTTTTCTTGTACCAATATGAACCTATCAGATTCCATCACTGGGAATCCATGAGGCTTCCTGATGTGCTGTACTTGGTACCTGGCTGGAGCTGATTACCTCTCTGGATGTCAGTTGTCCCAACAGATTGCCTGTCTGACTCCTGAATTCATTTAGTCTTAGGGCCTGCAGTGACTTTTGTAACAGTGTTAATGGATCCAGTGATATGTGAATGATGTCTCAAGTGAAGAAATTCACTGATGGAATTTGAGAGGAAATAAATAGAAGGATGGTGTTGGATGGAAAGAGGGGCTCCTTGCAATTGTAAAAGCCCATCAGGTGTGCCGAGGCCGGTTTGGCTCAGTGGATAGAGCGTCGGCCTGCGGACTGAAAGGTCCCAGGTTCAATTCCGGTTAGGGGCATGTACCTGGGTTGCGGGCACATCCCCCATGGGAGATGTGCAGGAGGCAGCTGGTCGATGTTTCTCTCTCATCAATGTTTCTAACTCTCTCTCTCCCTTCCTCTCTGTAAAAAATCAATAAAATATATTAAAAAAAAAAAAAAGCCCATCAGGGGTAATTCTGGTATGAACATGGGTATGCAAATATCTGTTTGAGTCCCTGCTTTCAATTTTTTTCATTTGCTGGATCATATGGGAATTATACATTTAATTTTTTCAGGAACCTGCCATACTATTTTCCACCAACAATATACAACATTCTATTTCTCCATGGATGCTTAATAATTTTAATGTATGTGTATGAACATAATTCAGGTCTAATTGACCTAAATTTCTTTTTACATGGTAGACACAAATATTTTGTTGAAATCAATAATCAGCAAATGTTCACTGAATTAAATTTAACACATATTTGTTAGATTCCTACTATACCAAGGCAGTATACAAAGTATTATAAGGGACACAAAGATGAATACTAGTCTCTACATTCAAGGTGTTTATAATCCAGTAGATCTAATAGGTATAAATTGAGCTGGCTGTACAGCATATTGTTTCATATTTACTTGTTAAAAGTAGGTATTTCTATTTCTTGTGTTAATGATAAAACCATTGAGGACAAATAATATGCGAACAGATTTTTACCTGTTTGTTTGCAAACACAACCAGAGGGATGACTGGGTTTATTTTAATTAGCTGATGAAGGTATTTCTTGGCTTCAGGTAACCTGCTGTGATCTGCTGAGTCCACCACAAAGATCAGCAGCATTCCCCTGGACACATACACTTCCCAATAGGAACGGAAAGGTTCACTGCCACCAACTACAAAGAAGAGCAGGGAAAGAAGACACACACAAAAAGTCACAGCCACATTCGCCGAGGGGGTAGGAAAGGCAGTCAGGTAACTTCTGAACACTGTGCAGGGGTCCTAATACCACTGGGTTAGAGTGTACCACTTGAGAACCACCAGAGAGACATCACTGGGGAAGGAGTGGGCGGGTGGAGATATTTACCTCCACAAGTGATTCATTCATTCTGGAACATGCAGGCTCTGCATGAAATACTAAATACTACAGTGGATGCCTCCTGCTGTTATACAGAGCAGCCACGGCAGCCCCTGCATGTCCATCAGTTACAGCTAAAAAAAGAAATGGGAATAGGCTACTAAAATAATTCAGGATGGTGGATTAAAACACATTGCTCTAAAATAATTTCTAAATGGACTAAATGCATTGGGTAGCCTCACTTGCACAATGTTTTCCTTTGTCAAAATCCCAGAACTAATTTCTCTTCTTAATTTTGCACTGAGAGTTAATATAATCCTATGGGCATTCACTAATACTTGCCTCAGAAAAAAAGTGCCTTTGGATTATTTCATTCTATTGATTCTTCTCAGAAGAAACTTTTTGGTTAATGACAATGAATTTAGTTTTTATTTTTCTCCTAGGACAGGGGTTGGCAAACTATGGCCGACAGTCTAAATCTGGCCTACTGTCTATTTTTTGTACAGCCCACAAAGAAAGAGTGGATTTTATAGTTTTATTTTTTAATTTTTAAATATATTTTTATTAATTTCAGAGAGGAAGGGAGAAGGAGAGAGAGAGATAGAAACATCAATGATGAGAATTATTGATCAGCTCCCTCCTGCTCACCCCACACTGGGGATCAAGCCTGCAACCTGGGCAGGTGCCCTGATGGGGAATTGAACTGCGACTTCCTGGTTCATAGGTTGATGCTCAACCACTGAGCCACGCTGGCTAGGCAATTTTACAGTTTTAAACATTTGAAAGAAAAAGAAAGAATACTTTTTCATGCCATGTGGACATCATACCACATTTCCATTTCATTGTCTACAAACACAGCTTTTTCAGAATAGACATGTGGATTTGATTCTATATTGTCTGTGGCTGCTTTCCCACTAGAACCTCAGAACTGAGTAGTGGCAACAGAGACCAGGTGGCCCACAAGGCCTACCCTAGTCCCTATTCGGCCTTTTATAGAAAAAGTTTGCAAACCGCTGTTTTAGGAATCAATAAAAACATTTACCATACTAATGGGAAAGGGTTTTTATATTCCATTATTTTCCTTTGCATTGAGTCAGTCCTTGAAGTATTTTGTGGTTTTAATTTTAAAGGATGTCGTATAATCTAAGTTGCTCATATGATTTAAATATATTTAGTTTAAACAAGAATGAACATTTGTGCTCATTTTTTTTTCCTGATACCTGACATTTTACCTATATAGAGATTTTTATCTTTGAGTTATTAACAGCAACGCAGCCAGAGAACATGCTTTGTATGATGCCTCTGATTTGGAAATATGTTAAGACCTGCTGTACAGCCCAGTGAGCGGTCAATTTTGGTAAAAGTTACATGAGTGTTTGAGAATGTGTATTTTAGCGTTTGGGTGTAGGTAAAATAGACTAATTAGGCAATTTTATATTGTCCAATAGATCAAATTGTTGATTAAGTTCAAAGTTTGTGCATCTTTGCAAATTTTTCTCTCCTTAATCCTATGAAAAATTGACAAATATGCTGAAATCCCTCACTCCAATTATAGATCTGTCCATTTCTCCCTCTACTTGGGTCCTTCCTTTCCTTCCTTCCTTTCCCCTTCCTTTTCATTTTTTATATTTTGGAACGATTTTTTTTAGCTATGTATTTGGTCAAAATAATTATTTCTTCAATAGCTTCTGGGCAAGCTGAAACCTCTATTCCGAATATCATCTTTTTTTCTTAAAGATTTGCTTACAGGTTTATCGATTTCTCTGCTCATTTTCTCTTTGTGTCTGGATGATAGCAAAATTAAAAAGGTACTGCAGTAATCTCAGTAGGAGATAATAGAGGTTCCAACTCAAATAAGGGTAGTGGGAAAGGCTCTAACTGATGAACTGGAGATTTGTTGTAAAGGTAGAAAAATTCATCGTGTTTTACTGGAGGTGGGGTACAGAAGGAGCAGACAAGGGTGACTCTGGGTTTTCTGTCTTGAGCAACTCGATGGGTCCTGACCAGTGGATTATAAGGAAAGGAACAGATGTGGAGATAACTCAAGCATTTTGTTTTGACGTTAGGTTTGAGAGGGCCATCAGACAGCCAGGTGAAATGTCAGATGACATTTGAATATGTTTGGGGTGAATAGATAAATCTGGGACTCATCAGCATATACATGGTACTTAATGCCAAGCGGGTGGATGAATTCAACCAAGAAAAGAATGTAAAGAGAAGAGGACCTGATGAGACTTTGGGGAATAGCAATATTTAGAGCGGTGGTGACTCCAGAATTACTACAGAGTATGAGCTTCTGGGCTGCCATCTGTTTACAAGAAGAGGTTGGGGTTTGTCTGCAGTTGGGTTGTAGAGAAGGAAGCACGCTATATTTTCTTAGATTGCATGTTTACTTGGGGTAGCAAGGGAGGAGGGAGGCTGCTATGCAAGGGGTATAAAGCCTTCCTCTCAACTGCCCTTTATCACCACCACTGTAAAAAGGAGATAATGATAAGAGCAGAAAGTGATGTCCCTCACAGTGCACGCTAGTATTAAACTACAAATGCTTTCTAAATCTCTAGGAAAATCTGACCCAGTATTACTTTTCACAAGGACCCAACGGTGATAATAGTATATCCTGCTTAAGGTATGAGAAAGGAGCTATCCTGTAACTAATGAAAAAGAGGGCTTACTCTCCAGAAACTCCATCTGGCTGTGGTCAGTGCTGATGCACACTTCATTGAAACCTTGGGTGGGTGCCTTGCTGTGCTGGACTCTGTTTAAAGCTAGAGAGTAGAGAACACTGGTCTTTCCTGCTCCATCGAGGCCCAACACTAGGATATGATTGTTTTTCTCCTGTGAAACAAAGGATAAATCAATAAACCTATGCCATCAGGGCCTTGTTTTCTGGTCCCTGGTAGTGTACCTGCCTGTGGTAGGACCCAATAATACTTGTGGGATTGTAAACCAGAATGAAACTTCATAAACTATTTAATAGATCTAGAACAAACTGTACCAGTTTATATTTTACTAGTGGCTCAGTGCACGAAATTCATGCGGGGGGTGGGGGAGGGGGTTGTTCCCTCAGCCCAGCCTGCATCCTCTCCAAGTGGGGACCACTGGCTCCTAACCGCTCACCTGCCTGCAGGCCTGATCTCACCCCCAACTGCCCTCCCCTGCAGGCCTGATCTCGCCCAGTCTCTGTCTCTCCCTGTTTTCCTCAGCAGTCCTCCCTGACTTCCTGCCTCCCTGTCTACCTCTTCCTCTTTGCCAGCTGGGAGGGGGTGGGGCCAGTGGGGGCCGCTCCACCCTCTGACCACCCTCCCTTCCATCCAGGCCTCTTCAGGCCCAGTATGTTTTGTTTCCTCATTCTGAGAGAGGCTCTGAGAGCAAGCTGGGAGGGAGGGAAAGAAAGGGAGAAAAGGCTGTGAGCTGGTGGGCGCTGTGTGTGTCTGTGCATGTGTGTGGTTGTGAGTGTGAGTGCCAGCCCTGCCTCCCCGTCCCCATCTCCACTGCCACAAGTCCCCACTCACCAGAGCCTGCTGCATGCGCAACCTGGGCGTTAGGTCGAGCCTCCAGTCATTGCGGATGTGACGGACCCAGGGTTTTTATATATTAGGATAATTAACCATTAGTTATGTGGTGTTAATTGCACATTACCTCTCCATTCTCCAACTCCTGGTCAATCTATCAAATAAATACTATATATATAGTATTGCTGTTTGGGATCTTGGTACCTCCATGGTGCCTCCAATATTGACTGTGCCACCCACCATATAAGCATCTAAGGCAGCGGTTATCAACCTGTGGGTCGCAACCCCTTTGGGGGTCAAACAACCCTTTCACAGGGGTCACCTAAGACCATCGGAAAACACATATATAATTACATATTGTTTTTGTGATTAATCACTATGCTTTAATTATGTTCAATTTATAACAATGAAAATACATCCTGCATATCAGATATTTACATTACGATTCATAACAGTAGCAAAATTACAGTTATGAAGTAGCAATGAAAATAATTTTATGGTTGGGGGTCACCACAACATGAGGAACTGTCTTAAAGGGTCACGGCATTAGGAAGGTTAAGAACCACTGATCTAAGGTCTCATTAATCTGTCTTGTCCTTCCAATTGGATCATTAGATTAAAAGCTCTTAAGGCAAGGTTCCCCTCTAATACTTTTAAATATAAATATCATGATTAAATGACAAGGCTAGGATTATAGAAATTGCTAAATCAGTTCCACTGACAAATGAGCATATATTTTCGAGCCTGATGTTAAAATCTCTTGAAATAGATGTAAACTTTAGAAACGTTCCATCAACATACCAGCCTTAGAAATTTTTATGACAAATGATTGAGGGACAACAGGGCAGGCTGGTATGAAGAAAGAAATAGAAAGTTCAGAGTGCTCAGAAAGGTGACTTTTACAGTACAAATTTCAATGTAAATAGTAATAAATGAGCAACAATTCAGCCAGACTGTTCACAGAAAATTAAATCTATTTCCCAAGCAGCCTACTAAATAAGTTTCTCATGCACAAAAAATAAACAAAAACCCCACCAGTAAATGTCTTCATTGACACTGTTTTAAAAATAACAATAATCTTATACATTTAACACTAAATGTTGACATTAGATTTAGACTAGATTTCAGGTTGAAAAAAAAAAAAAAGATCCCCAACAGCACCAGAATGTCTATCCCACCTATTTTATTTTATTTTATTTTTTAACTCAAGGCCCAGTGCATGGATTCATGCACATTGAAAGGAAATTAATTAGAAGGTGGCCAGTGGGGCAGGACTGGGCAAGACGGTCCAGATACACCCTGGAGTCAACCTCCGCTCTGCTGTCCCTCCCCGGCTGGCAGCACCTGGAATGGCGCTGGGGCTTGAAAGGCGTCTGTGGAATGAATGTGGTCCCTCTGCGTGGCCTGCAGGGATCGGGCTGAAACCAGAAGTCCGACATCCCCCAAGGAGTCCCGGAGTTTGAGAGGGCACTCTGCAAAGTTGCTGTTGCTCAGCAGCTCCTGCTTTGAGCATCTGCCCCCTGGTGGTCAAGTGCATGTCATAGCTACTGGCCATCAGCAACAATTCAGCCAGACTCTTGACAGAAACAGTAAGTTATTTAGGCTTTTATATATATATAGACTAGAGGCCCAGTGCACAAAAATTTGTGCACTCAGGGTGGGTAGGGGGTCCCCTCAGCCCGGCCTGTGCCCTCTCGCAGTCTGGGACCCCTTGGGGGATGACCATCTGCTGGCTTAGGCCCGTTCCCCAGGGGATTGGGCCTAAGCTGGCAAACAGACATCCCTCTGGCAGCCCGGGAGCCCTCAGGGGATGTCCACTTGCCAGTGGGGAGCAGGCCTAAGCTACAGTCGAACAGCCTTAGCACTACTAAGGAGGCGGGAGGGGCTCCCGTGACCACTGCTATACTGGCAGCCATCAGCCTGGCTTGTAGCTGAGCAGAGCTCCCCCTGTGGGAGCACACTAACCCTCAGGGGGCAGCTCCTGCATTGAGTGTCTACCCCTGGGTGGTCAGTG